GCTGGCTGTGAGGCAGGGTAGCACATGGAAGAGGTAGTTAATGGTAGTGGGAGACAGCAAAAGCAATGAGAGACGTATTTTATGTTAGTAAAACTGTATATTGAAACCTGAAAATTACAATTCCAGTAAAATGTAGGGATACTGAGCATGTAGGGGACTGAGAATTACAAACTATTACTACATTCTTTAAAATGTATCTATGTAATGTAAAGGCAATGCAAGTAACTAGAATTAAAGTTAAATAAGTTTTGGAGTACAAATAATAAACAGGTTTTGTCTTTTTTGAATGATGAATTTGTGAAAGATTTTACTATTTGTGAGAAATCCACTTAGCTGATGAATGGTCACTGGTAAAATGCTTTTGTCTAATGTAGATAAATTCATAGGATAGTGGTAGAATAACATTGTCTGGGATGGAGAAAACTACAAATTGTTCAGTAGATGGCACTCTTACATCTGAATCTTTGTAGAACTAATAATATATTTCTTGAATTAGCTGTTGAATTTGAGAAAAATTTTGCACTTAGATATTCTTGAACACTTTCTATTTAAAAGATTTTTAGGTGATAATTGTGTGTGTTCAACAATAAATAATGTCTTTAGTTAAAATCTCTGAAATTAGTATGTGCCCTAATTTGGGATAACACAAACTTAGCATATTCTGAGTGGTACACAGAATATAACTTAAAATTATGTCATTGATTTGATCAATGTGCTTTTAACTTGTAAGTGTAGCACATAGGACCATTGAAAATGTGAACCATCTTGATGACTTTAGTCATTTTAAAGAGAGGAAAGTCTAAAAAAAAAAAAAAGAGAGGAAAGTCTCATTTGAAATTGGGCTAAAAATTATTTTTAATTGGAGTCCTTTAGAGTTGGATTAATGTCATGAATCATTAAAGCATTGCAATAATTTTTAAATTGTAAATTTATGTTTTATAGAAGTGAGAGATTGAAAAAAGTGACTTTAGAACTGTTTGTTTCCTATTGATATTACAATAATTTACCACAAAAGGGCATAAAGAACACTAATCTTGTAGAGCAGAATTCTAACCTAGACTGGTTTTTGTTTTTTTGAGAAGGAAGTCTTACTGTGTTGTTTAGGCTGATATGGAACTTGATCTCTCTGGCTTAGCCTGCCAGTTGGGAGGCTACAGCTGGCGGTTTAGGAGGACACCACTGTTCCCAGCTGGTTAATTTCCCTTTTGAAACTAGGAGGGATTGTTCCCTTCTTGTGTTACGGTCCTGAATATGAGACACATTTTTAATGTTTTTTTTTTTTTTTTTTTGGTAAAACCAAAAACAGTTGGGAGAATTAAATATGAATAAAGCTGAACACTAGCCAGTTTATTAACCTTTCTTTTTTTTCTTTTCTGTCTTACACACTGAAATGAATACTAGATTTATGTTAAACTAATAGAGTTTCTATGCTTGTGATCCCGGGTTAGGTTAAACGACAGTTCAGTAGGTATTTATCTTGAAATTTTGGTTCTCTTTTCAGGCAGAGTATATAGATTGGTAAATCATGAAAAAATTTTGAAAAAATTATTTGTGAAGCAGGAACTGTCCATGCCATCCACTTGATAAGTGTTGTCATATGGACAAATAAGTGTTAAGGGACATGTCATTCCATTCAGTAAGATTCTCATTCCCACCTAAGAACTGAGAATGGTAATAGAAACTTAATACATTTTTCCCTAAAATAAACTTCCACCTGATTCATGTCTTCTATAATTGATGAATTATATCCATATTTTAGTAGCTCATGGAGAAAAACAGATATACTGTAGTTACTTGAAATGAGAAAGGAACTTGATAACTCCTTCTTATATTAAACTATAATGTATTTCCTGCATATACTTTATCCACAGAGCTCTTGTCCTTTTTTTTTTTTTGTCATATAACTGGGGTTTAAGTACAAGCATCTTACAGGTATTTCATGAAGTTTTTTTTTTTTTTTTGTGGGGGGTTAGCTCCCTCAGGCTGCCTGAAGTGCGGGTGTGGTGTGGCATGTGGAGCTGGGGTTTGAACTGCAGTCCCGTAAGCCTGACTGGGTTTGCCTAGGCAGGCGCTTAAACAACTGAGCTAACCGGCAAGCCTCCCAATATTTCATGAAATATTAGGAAATTAACTATAAAAATTATTTAGGAATTTTTTTTTGGGGGGGTCTTTTTTGAGATAGGGTCTCTCACAGTTCAGTCTGCCCTTCATTTCACTTTGTATTGCAGGCTGATCTTCGGCTTGCCATGATCCTCTTGTTTCAGCCTCCCAAGTGCTGGGATTACAGGCATGTGCCACCACCCCTGGTTTATTCAGGATTTATCAGTAGAAGGTTGTTACATAAATGTTGCTTGGCATTTGGGGGCGTTTAGAACTAAGAGGGTCTGGAGTTCTCATTTTATATCGTAGACAAGTTTTGAAGTAATTTCACAGGGAAAAAGTACAGTTGTAGTTATAAGCTACATAATATATACTTTAAAAAACTAAGGAAAAATCGGTTTCACACCTCGGTTTGAAGCTAAAAGTTCACTTACATGATAAGGGAGTGGCATGTGAGAAAGGAGGGGGTGAGAATGGCTAAATTTTTGAAAGACCACCATTAAAATAGCTGTTTTGTGAGCTTTCATAAGTCATGCTTAATTTTTTTTGTGTGTGTATGTGCGTCTTTTTTTGAGACAGGGTCTTGCTGTGTAGTTCAGTCTGGCCTTGGGCTCACTTTGTAAATCAGGCTAGTCTCAAAACTCACAACCGTCATCCTACCTCAGCCTCCTGAGTGTTGGGATTATAGGGGTGTACCACCATGCCTGGTGTCATGCTTCATCTCACAGCGATCATGGCTTTGATTGTGTTGTCAGGTGATTGATGTCTTCTCAGAAATGTTAATATTGCTTGGTGCTCTCAAATACTTTATTTTTTGGCAATAGCACATGGTATTGTTATGTACAATCATTAAAAAATACAGTTCTGGCTTGTATTATGAATAAGTAATGTTTTGACTCCAGAGATATTTAAAATGTGAAGGGAGGTGGTGGCAAGCCTATGGTAAACATGCTGCAGAGGGCTCTGTATTTCATTGAAAACTCTTAAAAGATTTGCCATCACTTTCCTAGGTAGAGTCCGTGTACATATGATGGCGTCTGTCTGTCTGTCTGTCTGTCTGTCTGTCCATCTATCTATCTATCTTTTTCTTTATATGATTCAGTTTGCTTTCAGATGTTACATTATATTTCTTGTACTAATTCAGTTACTAAAACATGAAAATGGGCAGAAACATTTTGAAAATGTCACTATTAAGTACAGTTATAACTTTTTTTTGTAATTGTCCTGGTTACTCCACATCAAAGCAGTTCAGTTTAAAATCTGTCTTGTTCATGGCCACATCACCCTGAACACACAGGATCTTGTCTAAACATCTGACTTGACTAAGTAGATACAATAGTTAAACTCAATTGGCCTAGTTAATACATTTTTTTCCCCTCCCTTTGGTAATGATAGGGATCAAACCATGGCTTTCCACTTTATCTACATACCTAGTCCTTTTCTGTTTTTATTTTAAGATAGTCTTATCAAGTTGTCAGTCTGGGCTCAAATTTGTGATCCTTTTGTTTTAGCCTTCTGGAATGCTAGGGTTATAGACAGGTATAATCACACTCAGCCCCCAACTTGTTTTTTTATTTATGCTTAGTTTTTTTCTTTAATAGACAGTATGCCTACTTTTATATTTTGTAGGAAATAATTTTTAAATCACTTAAAAAAATAGGGCTAACATTTATGTTCTCTTCCTTCCCAAGGTACAAATTCTGAGCTGTCTAACCCCTCTGAAACCGAATCTGAACGTAAAGATGAGCTGAGTGATTGGTCATTGGCAGGAGAAGATGATCGAGAGAGCCGGCATCAGCGTGACAGCAGGAGACGCCCAGGAGGAAGAGGCAGAAGTGTTTCAGGGGGTCGAGGTCGAGGTGGACCACGTGGTGGCAAATCTTCCATCAGTTCTGGTAGTCTTTTATATACTATGTCAGCATCTAATCTTTTATATACTATGTCAGCATCTATTTTTGTGAACAGTTTAATTGTAAGAAAGTTTATCTCTGCAGGCCAGCCTTTTTTGGAAGCCACTTAACATGTTAGACAGTAGTGAATTATATAGCATTCGGTGTAGGAAAAGCTTTTGAGGCAGTAAAATAGCATTTATTTTTACTTAAAAACTTTTAAGTAAACCTTCTCATCAAAGGTTTACTTAAAAGTTTTCATGTCAGAATTTTTTGGGGTGCTCATCTTAGTGAAGTGGGTGGTGGTGAACACATGGCACATGCTGTAGTGAGCTGTTCATATCATTGAAAGCTCTACAAGGTTAGCTGTCAGTTCTCTTAGTGTTTTGAAGGTTGGATATTTATCTTTTCAATTTGGGACAACTTAATGTAATTGTAAGTTTTTTCTTTAGAATTTTTGAGTTTATGTATGTCTCTCCTAGCTGGACTCAGAGAATTCTAATGCCCAGAGGGATCTAAATACTACTTTTCTGTATTGAAATTGAATATTATAAAAACAGCACTTAAAAATTTGAGGAATTAAGTTATAAAGAGCGTGACTAAAGATTTGAGGTGTATAAACAGCTTTTGTGTGTTCTTGAATTTTTAAAAAATCTGTTATATGGAATTGTAAGATCTGTCTACAGAGTTCTTAGCAGAATGGGCTGGAAGAGAGAATAGAGATACAGGACATTATTTTAAGGATACAGATTTAATGTGTTAGACTCCTTTAAGAAGACCACAGTTTTCTTAATATCATACCGTTAGAGCTTATGTAGCATTTAAAGTAAGTTATGTGTGTATACATGAAGTATATGCTAAGTGTACTTACAAAAATATAAAAACTGGAATTGCAAAATCAAGGGAATTTGAAAATGTTTAGATTTAGTTCTAATATAAGTTCAGTTTACAGGCTTTCAGAAAAGTTTTTATATTTTAATACATTGCTATGTTTCTAATTGCAAACTAAATGTACTTTAGTGTTTGATTAATGGATAAACAGTGTCTTTTGCAAAGATACTAGCTTGCTAGCTGTTACCAAAGGAAACTTAGGAAGGAAAAATCGTGATTAGGTGCCTTTCTTCTGTAATTTTGTTGGAGGCAATACGTGATTAGGTGCCTTTCTTCTGTAATTTTGTTGGAGGCAATAAATGCACATAGGTAAGATGAGTTATTTTCCTTTGAATTGTATTTTGAAATCCTTCACCTTTTTCACCTTCACTCTACCTTTATGCTTTTTTTTTTAAGAGTTGGAGTACAAGTCTGCATTCATTTCAATGTTCTCCTTCCTGTATCTAGTTAGAATTGCAACTCTGTTTACTGTGCTGCTTTGCTTGGACTTTTCCTGATTGCTTCAGTTCATAAAGTGCTGAGTATTATTTGGAAATAGTACATTAACATCCACACACAAAAGTAGTAGTCACCTTGAACTTCATAAAGATGACAAGCTCAAAATTAATTCATCTTAGCTTAATGTGTATTTTTCTTTTCTCTAGGCTCTGGGTAGAAAGACCCTGAGTGTGAACTACATGTAATATACCATTTCCAAACAGAGTCATTCCTAAGTATCAGTGGATGATTTGCTGTAGGACCTCTTACAGATAGCAAAATTTGAAGATTCTCAGGTGTCTTATGCAGGGTGACATTGGATATGCATACACTTAAGCATATCCACTTTATACTTTCAATCATCTCTAAATTACCCAAATACCTTATAATATGTAAATGTCATTTAAACAGTTATGCCATATTTAGGGAATAATGGTAAGACAAAAAAAGAGTATTTGTTATAGTATTTTTTGTAATTGGTGATCTGTAATTAGATGAACCCTGTGGATATGTATATATTTTCAAAAATTGTCAAGGAAATGTTAGGAGTTTGTTCATCTTTTGTTGTACGGTTTTTCATTTTAGTTCTTTCATATTTAATCATCATTTGTTATTTTCCAGGTAAACTAATCAGAGAAAACATTTAAAGATAGTTTTTCTTTAATTGGGGAAGATTAAAATTTAATAATAGTTGGTACAGTTCAGTATAGATCAGAGCATTCATAACTACAGCACTCTTAAATGACTATTTCTTGCCTCTGACATGAATATAGTGCTCAAAGATCCAGACAGCAATCCATACAGCTTACTTGATAATACAGAATCAGATCAGACTGCAGACACTGATGCCAGCGAATCCCATCACAGTACTAACCGTCGTAGGCGGTCTCGTAGACGAAGGACTGATGAAGATGCTGTTCTGATGGATGGAATGACGGAATCTGATACAGCTTCAGTTAATGAAAATGGGCTAGGTATGTAAGCATATAGAGAAAAGAAATATATACAGTTACAGGAAAATTATATTGATGTAGGAAATCTTTTTCAAAAGTGTACAAATTATAAGGGACTTTTTCTTAGTATTCACTTCAAGGTAGATAACTTTCTAAATCTCAGATTTGTCATAGTTAATAATTTGTGGAGGGCTGTTGCCCTTTGATGCCATGAGGTTTTGTACAAATAGTGAACTGCTCTTAGTGTCTTCAAATTAATATTGGACTTTCAGATTGCCTCTGTAAAATGATTAGAAATAGTACTTTTGAATATCCACATACCAAGAGTGAGCCTTAATTTCCAAAGGGCTAAAATCAACCATATTCAAGAGGAAAACTATCCCTAAGTGATAGTAATGTAAGTCTGAGAATGAGTTAAATTATCCTAAATCTGCTTTATTTTAAGGTACCAAAGTGTATCTTGTCAATAATTTATATTTTTATTTTGATGTTTAAAAATCCTTTTCCTCCTGTTAAATAAGATACATTTTTGTTTGTTTGTTTCTGGCTTGCTTATGTGTTTATTTTGTCAGAATAGTTCATGGTAAACTTTGCAATTACAGATGATAGTGAAAAAAAACCCCAGCGACGCAATCGTAGCCGCAGGCGTCGTTTCAGGGGTCAGGCAGAAGATAGACAGCCAGGTAACCCGGTGGATCTGTGGACAGCAGGTCACAAGCATGAAAAGAAAAATGTCATGTGTCTGTGTTGTAAATATATTTACATATACACTTGTGTGTATATACATTAAAAACTTACTTTGCACAGATGTTTATGTAACTAATGTGATTATTAAAGTGCATTCTCAGTGTAAATGTTTAGTAACTAGTCTTAAGTCTAACTGAACTAATGGTCTTAATGTTTTACATGAAAATACTGTTGAGAAGACTATTGCTTTGGTCACTTGGCATATTCTTCACACTTGAGTTTGGGCTTTTTGTCCTGGAGACTTTGCTGTAAATTGTGAAATTGTGACTGAGGTTGATTGGCAAAGTTGGGCAGCTTTTGCATGGTGCTTGCTTACTATATATAGATTCAGCACCTCATTTTCATTGGCATTGGAATACCCACCATTCAACTAAGAAAAAAAAAAATCTGTTTCCTAATACTTGAAATGCATGCTATATTTTTATTGTAGTGTGATGCTTTTTTCTTTTACTAACTACTCACATTAATACCTTTCAGTTTTATTTTTTATGTGGTTATCATTTTTAGTAATTTCAAAGAAACTTGTTTTCTGTGTATGTTATTTTGAGCATAATTCTCTTTCCTCTGTACAGTCATGTGTATATTCACCATGAAGAAATTGTGTGCACCAAAAATAAACCCCTTTAAAACTAATCAGTTTTGCGTTCTTTCCAAAATTTTTTCATTTGTTTACCCCAAATAATGTGAATACTTACATCTTTACTATTAAGCACTTACAGGGAGATTTTGGGAAACTGGTTGATAAGGTATTAATTTCCCATTGTAGAAAGTTTATTTTTAAACATTTGGTAATTTTAAAAGGAAGACCCTAACAAAGTAGAAGTTATCAAGAAAATGCTTATTTTTTTCCTTTCCTTTCTCCCTCTAAACTTTAGTTTTAGAAATGTATTTTAGATTATGAGATCATATACATTTCAATTTTTGAAGGTGGCACAGCAGTGAATATATATTTTCTAGACCTATTTTATACATAAGAAAACTCAGGCTATCAGTGTAGTCTTAACATGGATTAAATTATTACAACAGATTATTACATAAATATTGGTTTTCGTTCATAACAGGACTAAAATAAAATGCTAAGATTTATTGTCAAAAGAGTAGATATTTTTAAATGTCTGATTAGATGTTTGCAGTATTACTATCCAGCGTCTGTTCTTCTTTTACCTTGTTCTGTTAGAAGATTACATTCCTAATGTCCCACTCACTCTCAAAAACAAACAAAAAGTAGGTGAAAGAAGTAATAGGTTGTTTCTCTGTGTTTAGGGTAGTAAGGTGGTCGGTCTACGGGTTAAGTTCAGTCAACATTCTCCTAAAAACACATCATTTGGATTATACCTATTTGCTTAGAATCTTACCCTTCGTATAAATTAAGTATTGAATATTCTTTACTACGTTTAGAATGTTGATATAGTGATATTAGTATCTTCTGTGCTGGAGAGGAGATTCCAAAGCCCCAAGTTTTAGCACACAATTTGCCTGTATTTTTCTAAATAAGTGTAAGGACGTTATTAAACTCTAATGGAGTTTTAAGAAGCTTACATTATAAGAACTGGCCATACAGATGTTTTTCTTTGACTTGACTGATGTTTCTTTTGCCTTCCTTTTATGGGGGGTGGGGCACTCCACCTAAGTGCCTGCTAATATTTAATGATGGTTCTTAATTTGACTCATAACTACATTGAGTATATACAGCTGTTTACATAATGAATAGAAAGACATAAGAATTATTTAAACATAAGTTTAGTAGTATGCTTGTATATTCAGCAGAGTTTCCAGGTCAGGTCAGTTTCTTCAGGTATCAGTGAGGTATGAACTATGGGCGCAGAAAGCATTTACCATCTTGCTCCCTTTACTCTGGCTAGAATAATTATCAGAGTGATTTGGTCACTGCATATATAGATAACATTATGAAGTGGATTGTGATAATAACTCCTGCCCTGTACTATAATTAAATTTACTTATACATTCATTAATTTGATAAATAACAAATGAGTGAATTGCATTTCTTGTAATTTGGAAAAACAGTTTTATATTTTAAATGTCTCTAGTGGTTTTCTAATGATTTATAAGTTTAAAAAGATTCATTGCAGTAATAGTGCCAAGGAATTTCTTGATCTTAATTTTAGTACATCTAATTCTTAAAATTATATATACAATCCAGCTTTTTCTCAAAATGATTTAATAGTACCTTTTTATTTCTATCATATATTTTTTTATATGCCAGGTATTTTCTTAAAAGTGTGCAATAGAAAAGTTACTTGAAAGAAAAGTATCTTAATAGTTCAAGTCAATTCTTTTTCAAGTCCTGAAGAGAATGAGATCTGAATTGCGAGGCTGGGCTCACAGTATCTATTGAAGTCATTTATTTCACTTTAGTCAATACTAGGATGCATCTTCTTTGCAAAGACCCATTTCTGTCAGTCCCTAGCAAGATTAATGAGTTGGGGAGGTGGGCTGGTCTCTTGAGTTCACACTGGCCTTTCCCAGCCAAACCATTTTCTACATCTTTAGGGTGTCATCTAATAGATGTTTAGTTTGTTAGTTTGTACTTACTTTAAATCAGAATTAGATGGCTAAACTACAGTGGTTTCTAGCATGAAATATTAAGAAACCGGAAAATACTACATATGGCTATTTTTTACCCCTAAAAAGTAGAATTGACATGAGTAAATCTTTGAAATTTTCAAATTTAAATAGATCATGATCTATACCAACTTTGCCCCGCTTTCTCCCACTAATTACAAATACTTACCTAGGCTTAGAGTGCTGCATTTGCATTTCTTACTCTTGGTTGTGGGTTTCTGTACCACATTTGTCCCACAATCTTTAGTTCAACCAGTAGTAAATAGATGGATTCTTGGGAAAGAGGACTTCTAGATTTCCTCTATTTCCAGCTTGAAATTTTCTTATAGTAGTGAAATTAATAGACAAATTTTTCAAGCTTTGCTTTTGGTTGAAGGTGGTACCCAGCTTAAAATTTTGAAATTGGGTCACCCACCATTAACTTTAATAATGAAATTACTCTTTATCCATAAACTTCAAAAATATTTTTTCAACACCTGTAATTTTTTTCTCATCTTTAACAGTCACAGTTGCAGATTATATTTCTAGAGCTGAGTCTCAGAGCAGACAAAGAAACCTCCCAAGGGAAACTTTGGCTAAAAACAAGAAAGAAATGGTAAGGAGAATTTAACCTGTAGGTTTTGTTTTGTTTTTTTTTTTTTTTAAACTTCTAAAGTTACTGTATGATCACTTGTTTCCCCAAATAAACAAATAGTTTGAAAAAAGTACTGTTGCCTTTGTTCTTGGCCCCAGGTAACTGAAGATATGCATGCTTGATCCGGAGCTACTTTTCAGATATAGCTTAAACATTTGTTAAATTTAATCTGCCAGAAAAACTAGGTTTAATAAATACTTAATTTGGTGAGCATAAGGCTGTTGTATATCTCTTCTCAGTAATGGATATTACTGTTTAAAGTGTCACTTCTTTCAAATGCTTTCAGAGATTAGATCATTATAAATAGGAGTTTTAAAAAGGTGAGTAGAAGGTGATGATTTGCTCAACTTAGGCATTGACTTCCATTTACATGAGCTGCATAAACCAATCCGTTGATTTAAAAGAAAATTTGGTATGGGTGTATGGGTTTCATTATTACAGTACAGTGTTTTCTGGGGTTGGCACTTCTGGGTATTGGTTTTACAGAGTTGAAAGACCTAGTCGTGTCTCAATGTTGAACGTTTTGATTTGTTGCTTATGAAAATGAAGATTTTTAACCAGCTGATTTATGTAGCTGTTGTTTTTCAACTGTGGATTTCATTTATAAAGAATTTAATAAAGTCATCTCCTTTTGGCAGGTAAAAGATGTGATTGAAGAGCATGGTCCTTCAGAAAAGGCAATAAATGGCCCAACTAGTGCTTCTGGCGATGAAATTCCTAAGCTACAGCGTACTCCAGAAGAAAAGAGTACTACTTTCAAAGAAGAAAACACCCAAGAAGCAGCAGTCCTGAATGGTGTTTCATAAACTGAAGAAGTTCTAGTTTACAGTT